TTAACTTTTTGAAAATCATAGTTTAAACCCTTTTCTGGTACACCATCAGTAGTTGCCAAAATTATTTTCCATATAGCTTACTTTATGCACATAGCAAAAAGAAAGTCGACTTAAGGATAGGCTCTGAAGCTTGTATCCTTAAGCCCAAGTCAATGAGTCCATATAGCTTACCCTAAGCACACAACAAAGGAAAGCCGACCTAATGAAACATCTTGGGGCCCTCAAGAGTCACATTAGGCCCAGTTAGCTTGATCAGAGCTATTCCATCGTATTTCAATTCCAAAATTCAATTGCACCGTGACATAAATTCCATCAATCCAAAAAAACATGGTAATCATATACCATTTCAAAACAAAAATTAGATAGCAGCCATATTCCATAAATTGTCACATTAAATTGGTGCATCCATAAAACAATAGCCAATGAATTCGGTGTACCACATATTAAAACCAATAAAACAGTTCAATAATAAGCAGGGAACACACCTCGACAATAGGTTCAAATAGCAAATTTACTGATTGCTGGTTTCACCACGCTCTGCTACAATTTTCGAACGGGTGAATACTGGCACACGTGGTTTAACTGATCTAGAAGAGCTGGGTCGAGCTGTCGAACGATCCGGAGAGTCTCTTGTACCTTCAAACAATAATAATATATCAGTCCCAAATCCTATTTAATTGTTCAAAGCTAGTCTTCTTAAGTATATAAGCATTTTTCGAGTTTGACTATCAATTTGGGGTATTTCGAGTCTGAATTTGGCCAAACGGATTGCGGAAACGGAATCAGGACGTCGAAAAATATAAAGTATGACTTTTCAGAAATTCAGATTCTTGGTCAAAGTCAAAGTCAACCACTTTGACCGTAGATTTGGAGACCTTCAGGTTTGAATTTGGCGAAACGGACTGCGGAAATGGATTTGGCACGTCGAAAACTATCAGGATAGGTATACTCGGAAAAGATTTACGGTCGTTTAAGGGTCGGTCAAAGCCATTTTAAGTTTTAGTCAAAGAAAGTCAACAGTCAACGGTCAACGGTCAACAGTCGGGTCGGGTCAACAGTCGGGTCGGGTCAACCCGGTTCAGACCGGTCAAACCGGTTCGAACCGGTCAAACCGGTTCGAACCGGTCAAACCGGTTCAAAACTGGTCAAACCGGTTTTCCAGCAGCTCACTCTCCCTGCGGCGGCGCGTGCGGCGCGTGAACAGTGCCACGGTGTCGGAAAATTCCCGGAAAAATTTCTAAAAATTATTTTGAGCGATTTCGAGATACTTACAACGATCGGTTCAAATTTTTGAACGGCGGAGAGCTCGTATTTCAACTCGGCCGAACCTTTGACTGCTCCACCTCCTCACGCGCCGCCGTCGACGGCGAACAAGGTTGACACCGGCGGACTCGCAACGACACAAGGAACACGATGGTGCAGGAGGTGTCGTAAACGGAACAACGATCGGCGGTGAATTTAAGTTTTTCCCGACGATAGAGCTAAAAAAAACGACGATGCTTTGACTGAAAATTCCCGACGTTTGGCAGCGTTTCACTTCAATTAATTTGAAGGGTTTGTTCCTCGCTTGATGATGAACACAACGGTGGTTTCAATTTTACGATTGGACGTCGAACGGCGTCAGAATCGGCTTTGAAGTAGAGTGCGGGAGGAGGAATTTCACAATTGTTTTCTGTTTTGAAAACAGAAAACCATTCATACGTTTATATTAAATTTTCTGCCGACACTAAAAGGAGTAATGCAGGGCTTGGTCTCTGAATTTCCTTTAACTTCTAAAATGGCCTACAATTTTGAAAACTTCCGATTTAATCCTCAAATTTTACCAAATTACTTAATTAAATTTTTTTTTCTCTAAATTTTATTCCGGGTTGTTACAATTCTCCCCCTCTACAAGAAATTTCGTCCTCGAAATTTACCTTATGAGAATAGTTGAGGAAACTGAGCCTCCATTGACTCCAATGTCTCCCAAGTAGCTTCTGAGGGGCCTCGATTACTCCACTGAACTTTAACCATTGGAATTCGCCTATTCCGAAGAACTCTTTCATCTCTTTCTAAAATCTGAATGGGCTCCTCCTCATATGACAAATCCGGTCTCAGCTCTACTTCTTCAACCTGAATAATGTGACCTGGATCTGGACGGTATCGCCTTAACATAGACACATGAAAAACATCATGAATACGACTGAGGTGGGAAGGCAACTCAAGCTGATAAGCAACAGGTCCAACTTTCTTCAGAACGATACGGCCCAATAAATCGTGGACTCAATTTACCCTTACGCCCGAATCTCAATACTTTCTTCCACGGTGAAACTTTTAAGAAGACCTGATCACCAACCTCAAATTGTATATCTTTCCTTCTCTGATCTGCATAAGACTTCTGCCTATCAAATGCCTCTTTCAAACGGTCACGTATAAATCTGACTGTGTCCTCCGTCTCTCGCACTAACTCAGGTCCCAACGTTTCCTATCACGCAACTCAGTCCAACAGATCGGAGTGCGACATTTACGCCCATAGAGTGCTTCATAGGGTGCCATACGAATGCTGGTCTGATAACTGTTATTGTAAGCAAATTCAGCCAAAGGCAAAAATTTCTCCCAGCTACCATGAAAATCGATTACGCAACCCCGCAACATATCCTCAAGTATCTGAATCACTCTCTCAGATTGACCATCAGTTTGTGGGTGAAAGGATGTGCTATAATCCAATCTTGTTCCCAAAGCCGTATGTAGTGCCTTCCAAAATCTCGAAGTAAATCTCGGATCTCGATCAGAAATAATAGACAATGGAACACCATGCAATCTAACAATCTCTGAAATATACAATCTTGCCAGCTTGTCCAAAGTATAATTTACTCGCACAGGAATGAAGTGAGCTGACTTTGTAAGTCTGTCAACAATCACCCAAACTGAATTTTTTTTCGAAGGAGTCATAGGCAAGCTAGTAACAAAATCCATAGTAATACGCTCCCATTTCCATTCAGGAATCTTAATAGGCTGTAACAAACCTGATGGATGTTGATGTTCTGCCTTAACTTGTTGACAAGTCAAACACCTTGCTACAAAATTTGAGATGTCCTTCTTCATGCCGATCCAATGATACCTCTCTCTCAAATTCCGATACATCTTATCTCCACCGGGGTGCATAGCATATGGACTACTATGAGCCTCAGTAAGGATAGTCTGTTTCAACTCAGCATCATCAGGCACACAATACCGACCTTTGAAGCATAGAACTTCATCCCGGTCAAGGGCGTAATCTGAGCTTGTCCCCTGCTCTACTTGCTCAAAGATGGGAAGCAAGGAGCTATCAAAGGGCTGCTTAGCCTTGATCTCATCAACCAATGTCGGCTTAACTTGCAATTCTGCTAACAAAGTGCCATCATCATATAAATTCATCCTGGCCATTAAAGATCTCAACTCCGATACCGTCTTTCGACTCAAAGCATCCGCTACAATGTTAGCTTTACCAGGGTGATAATCAATCACACAATCATAATCCTTCAGAAGCTCTAGCCAGCGCCGTTGTCTCAAATTAAGCTCCTTCTGGGTCAGGAGATACTTTAAGCTCTTATGATCCGTGAAAATATAACACTTCTCTCCATAAAGATAGTGTCTCCAAATCTTCAAGGCAAAAATCACTGCTGCTAACTCCAAATCGTGAGTAGGATAATTACACTCATGAGGTCGCAGCTGACGGGATGCATAAGCCACCACTTTACCTTCCTGCATTAAAACACAGCCAAGTCCTGAGTGTGAAGCATCACTATACACTGTAAAATCCTTCCCGGACTCTGGTTGAATCAACACCGGTGCTTGAGTCAAAACCGCCTTTAATTTCTCAAAGCTCTCCTGTTGTGCCTCGCCCCAGTCAAACGACACATTCTTCCTTAACAACTTTGTCAAAGGAGAAGCAATGATCGAGAAGCCCTCAACAAAACGTCGATAATAACCAGCCAAGCCCAAGAAACTGCGGATCTCAGATACGTTCTTAGGTCGTTTCCAATTCATAATAGCCTCTATCTTGCTGGGATCGACCTGAACACCTCGCGCAGAATAATATGCCCCAGAAACGACACTTCTTGAAGCCAAAATTCACACTTGCTTAGTTTGGCATATAGACGATGCTCTCTCAAAGTCCGCAGAACGATCTTCAAATGCTCGTCATGCTCTGCCTCAGTACGAGAATAGATCAGAATATCGTCAATGAAGACCACCACAAATTGATCCAAATATGGTCGGAACACCCGATTCATCAAATCCATGAAAGCTGCAGGAGCGTTCGTCAAACCAAAAGGCATCACTAAGAATTCATAATGACCATATCTAGTGCGAATAGCCGTTTTTGCAATATCTGATCCTTTAACTTTCAATTGATAATACCCCGAACGAAGATCAATCTTAGAGAATACAATAGCTCCTCGCAATTGATCAAATAAATCATCAATCCTGGGTAGTGGGTATTTATTCTTGACCGTCATTTTGTTCAATTTCCGATAGTCAATACATAATCTTAGCGACCCATCCTTCTTTTTCACGAACAGAACTGGAGCTCCCCATGGTGAAGTACTATGTCGGATAAATCCTCGATCGAATAATTCTTGCAATTGGACTTTCAACTCTTTAAGTTCCCTTGGAGCCATACGATAAGGTGCCATAGAAATAGGTGACGATCCCGGATAAGTCTCAATCTCGAACTCTACCTCTCTATCAGGAGGTAACCCAGGCAACTCCTCCGGAAAAACATCAGGAAACTCGCTAACTGTCCGAATCTCCTCGATCGTGGACAATGCACCCTTGGTGTTCAAAATACAAGCAATGAAGGTCTCATATCCCTTCCGGATCATACGATCAATTTCCATCGCTGAAACTATATTGGAGAGATAACCACGCCGTTCACCAATTAACACAACAGTCCGACCATCTGAAGTCTTCAGAGTAGCCCGCTTGTATTCGCAATCCAGCTTTACCTTGTGTTTATTCAACCAATCCATTCCAAGAATTAAATCGAACTCCTCTAAAGGAAGCTCCATAAGATCAGCGAGAAAAATTTCTCCCTGAACCTCGAGAGGACAACGCCGGAATACTTTATTCACTAATACCGCTTGTCCTACTGGACTTGTAACTGTAACAGTATTTTCAGTGTTCTCGATCGGAATCTGAAGGTTTCGAGATACTGAGCTCGATACATAGGAGTGAGTGGAACCATTGTCCAATAATGCAAAGTATGGGGTAGAATAAATAGTAAATGTACCTGCAATAACCTCAGGCTCATCTCTGTCATCACGACGTCTAGTTGCATAAACCAAAACTGGCTGTCTAGCCTCAGAAGCTGTTGGCCCTCTATTTTGCTGAGGTCGGGCTCTACTGTCTGTCCTGGACGCTGATCCTCGAGTCTTTCCTTGACTACGATCTTTAATTGGGGTCTGTACTGTAGTCTGCGAACGCATAGGAGTTTGGGTAGTGGTCTGCTCAAACGAAACTAACTGAGGACAATCCCTCCGATAATGACCACTAGATCCACACTGATAGCAAAGACCCATCTTCTTACGACACTCTCCTGAGTGCTGTTTACCACAATACTCACAAAGGGGCCCATTATAATACGACGAGGAACCGTCTCGACTGACAGCTAAAGGTGAGGATGCTGCAGGCCTGAAACGTGTATTGCTTCTCTGAGGGGCTGAAGTACGAGTCCTCTTTCCGGACTGTGCTGATGACTCCATCGGGCCTGAAAATTTCGTAGATCGATCTTGATCAACACGCTCTCTACCAGAAGCTAAAACTTCCACCTCTTCCGCATCTTTGGCTCTGCCCACCAGCACATCAAATATCTCATCCTGATGGGTTACAACTTGCCTACGCAGCTCGTATCTGAGTCCAAGGGCAAATTTGCGACATCTATCTCTCTCCGTAGGTACCATACTGAATCCATACTTCAGCAATTTCAGGAACTCGATCTCATATTCAGAAACAGTCATGTCTCCCTGAACCAGGTCTTGAAACTGTTGTCGTCTCTGAGCTAAGTAGCGCTCTCCCAGAAAACGACTCCGAAAGCGATCCTTAAAGAAATTCCAGGTCAAACGATCGGTAGGAACACTACTGGTCACTGACTCCCACCAAGTGTAGGCATTACCATCTAACATTGCTACAGCACCCAGATATCTCTTAGTTGAGTCCAAACCCAACTGATCCATGCGTCTCTCTGTATCCTGGAGCCAATCCTCAGCTTCAGTAGGAGCTCCACCAATCTGTCCCCCAAAAGTTCTAACTCCATTGGAAATCAACGTCTGTGAAATAGGAACCTCAGATACAACACCAGTAGCTCTAACTGCTCCCTGTATTAACTGCAGAAACTGTCTACTAAAATTCTCATCCAATGCCACTCCAGTAGACTCTGACTCAATATCGGTCGCTCCTATGATCGGTGTAGTCATGCCAATACCATCGGTAGGTGGCATATTCGTTGGTGTCGTATGAGCATGATCACCTATTGGAGGTGGGGGATCTACTCGTATCTCATCAATCGGATCTGTAAATCTAGTTACTCGACCTCGTCCACGACTAGTTCGACGACCACGTCTAGCACTCATTTTGGTAGATCTCGAGATTACTACAGAAGATAAACTTAAGGTTAGATAAGCACTTGGAGTCTCGAACATAGTTAAAATCTTAATAACTTTGTGACATGGCCTTAGTAACTCGTTTTGTAAAATATTTTAAAACTGTATTTTCAATGTGGACTCATACACAGTCCGAGGGTTAAAAACCAAAAGCTCTGATACCAATAAATGTAACCCCCTAGACCCGGCCTAAGCGTTTCGACTAAGTCTAGTGGATCACATTATGATTATTAAAGACATTTTTCGAAACCGTTATTCCATCAATATAAAATCACATTATAAATAACATGAAATTATAAACAAATTATACTATCAAAATCCAACTCGTAAATATAGTACCAATAAATAATAATTTAATTTAAAACACATCTTCAAATTCAATATCACAATAAACCGAGCAGTATTAGCAAAAGAGTTATCATTATAAAATCCGATATTTTAAAATAAGGTCCATGTCACCAAAATAAAGTCAACTTGCCAGATAACAACATTACAATTTGATTTACTTCAAGAGATATGTTGATCCTCCAAGTGCTCGTACCAAGGTATCTAACCAACAGTATCTGAAAGGGGAAAACATTTTCAAAAGGTGAGCTAGGCTCAGTGTGTCCCAACATTTCCATAAAATCACAATAGGTACAAATCATAGTCCAGTAATCTCACAAATTCGTAAAAGAGTTTAACTTTTTGAAAATCATAGTTTAAACCCTTTTCTGGTACACCATCAGTAGTTGCCAAAATTATTTTCCATATAGCTTACTTTATGCACATAGCAAAAAGAAAGCCGACTTAAGGATAGGCTCTGAAGCTTGTATCCTTAAGCCCAAGTCAATGAGTCCATATAGCTTACCCTAAGCACACAACAAAGGAAAGCCGACCTAATGAAACATCTTGGGGCCCTCAAGAGTCACATTAGGCCCAGTTAGCTTGATCAGAGCTATTCCATCGTATTTCAATTCCAAAATTCAATTGCACCGTGACATAAATTCCATCAATCCAAAAAAACATGGTAATCATATACCATTTCAAAACAAAAATTAGATAGCAGCCATATTCCATAAATTGTCACATTAAATTGGTGCATCCATAAAACAATAGCCAATGAATTCGGTGTACCACATATTAAAACCAATAAAACAGTTCAATAATAAGCAGGGAACACACCTCGACAATAGGTTCAAATAGCAAATTTACTGATTGCTGGTTTCACCACGCTCTGCTACAATTTTCGAACGGGTGAATACTGGCACACGTGGTTTAACTGATCTAGAAGAGCTGGGTCGAGCTGTCGAACGATCCGGAGAGTCTCTTGTACCTTCAAACAATAATAATATATCAGTCCCAAATCCTATTTAATTGTTCAAAGCTAGTCTTCTTAAGTATATAAGCATTTTTCGAGTTTGACTATCAATTTGGGGTATTTCGAGTCTGAATTTGTCCAAACGGATTGCGGAAACGGAATCAGGACGTCGAAAAATATAAAGTATGACTTTTCAGAAATTCAGATTCTTGGTCAAAGTCAAAGTCAACCACTTTGACCGTAGATTTGGAGACTTTCAGGTTTGAATTTGGCGAAACGGACTGCGGAAATGGATTTGGCACGTCGAAAACTATCAGGATAGATATACTCGGAAAAGATTTACGGTCGTTTAAGGGTCGGTCAAAGCCATTTTAAGTTTTAGTCAAAGAAAGTCAACGGTCAACGGTCAACGGTCAACAGTCGGGTCGGGTCAACAGTCGGGTCGGGTCAACCCGGTTCAGACCGGTCAAACCGGTTCAGACCGGTCAAACCGGTTCAGACCGGTCAAACCGGTTCGAACCGATCAAACCGGTTCAAAACTGGTCAAACCGGTTTTCCAGCAGCTCACTCTCCCTGCGGCGGCGCGTGCGGCGCGTGAACAGTGCCAAGGTGTCGGAAAATTCCCGGAAAAATTTCTAAAAATTATTTTGAGCGATTTCGAGATACTTACAACGATCGGTTCAAATTTTTTGAACGGCGGAGAGCTCGTATTTCAACTCGGCCGAACCTTTGACTGCTCCACCTCCTCACGCGCCGCCGTCGACGGCGAACAAGGTTGACACCGGCGGACTCGCAACGACACAAGGAACACGATGGTGCAGGAGGTGTCGTAAACGGAACAACGATCGGCGGTGAATTTAAGTTTTTCCCGACGATAGAGCTAAAAAAAATGACGATGCTTTGACTGAAAATTCCCGACGTTTGGCAGCGTTTCACTTCAATTAATTTGAAGGGTTTGTTCCTCGCTTGATGATGAACACAACGGTGGTTTCAATTTTACGATTGGACGTCGAACGGCGTCGGAATCGGCTTTGAAGTAGAGTGCGGGAGGAGGAATTTCACAATTGTTTTCTGTTTTGAAAACAGAAAACCATTCATACGTTTATATTAAATTTTCTGCCGACACTAAAAGGAGTAATGCAGGGCTTGGTCCCTGAATTTCCTTTAACTTCTAAAATGGCCTACAATTTTGAAAACTTCCGATTTAATCCTCAAATTTTACCAAATTACTTAATTAAATTTTTTTTTTCTCTAAATTTTATTCCGGGTTGTTACATGTTCACTATCAACACTCCACACTTCCTACTTTTCTCACTAATATTTCCATGTCTGCTCACATCCCACTCTCATTCTCCCTCCTCACATCATGACCACCTCCTTCTTATCTCCTTCTCTGCTTTCCTCATTATTGTTATCACGATCTTTTTTCTTGTCGACTTCACTCTCTTTTTTCGTAACTATCAAAAATATTTTGTATGACGACAAAATTTCATGTTCAAAATCATAAATTTAAAACATTTAAACATGACCAATTGAATATTTTTGTGATTGATACCTTCATGAGTCTAACTAGATTCATAAAGACTACAAACGGTTAAGTATTATATATTTTTAACTTCATATGTGAAAATTTATAGATTCAAACTCTTGTTATCATTATGTTTATAGTAAAACTTTCTTCTTCTATCTATGAAGGTAAATAAAACTTAATCATATTATTTATTTTTATATTTTATGTATGATTTATTTTGTGTTAATCTTATTTTATTTTTTTTATATATAAATTCTTAACATAAAATAATATCAACGGCACCTTCAGCTTGCCCCGTACAATTAAATATTTTGAAATAAACTCATAAAAAGAAAACGAGAAAAGTAGTTTTAATTAAATAATTAATGTATTTAGCGGAAAAGAAACTCATAAAACATTTAATTAAAAGTCAGGCAATCGTGTTTTCCATATCTTTAACACCGATATGTGGTGGATGGGTTGTCCAAAAATTCAGTGGATTTGCCGATGTTATTAATCACGTGTAATAACCACGGGCACGAAGGCAAGTGGTCTTTTATTTTATACATCATCACGGGAAAACAATTAGCCTTATCCGATAGAATTTTATCCAAATTAAATAAACTTCACATTACTTTGATTCAATCATCCTCTTTATTCTACTTGTTTCCATCAAATTAAATAACTTTTACAACAAAGAGGGGGAAAATATATAGACGTAAACAATAAGTATTTGATAAATTTTATATATATATATATATATATATATATATATATATATTTATTAAATTAAATATAAGAGTATAAATAAAAATTTCATGTTTGTTTATTACACAAACGAGATTAAAGATATTTTTGATTAATTTATATTCACAAATAAATTTTTTATTCAAATTTAATATTTTTATATAAAATGTACTTAAAGTATTTATTTTATTTATAATATAATTATTAATATTTACATTTAATTATTTTTTGTTCATGAATATATCTTTAATTTTTTGCTAATATATTTTGCTATATGTTTATGAACGAGTATGATCACGCATGTAATAATGTAAGTACGGTAACAATAAATGTAAAACAATCACAAAATAAAGAATACTAAAACTTAATGTGAAAATTTTGCTTTAGGGAAAAAAATCACTATGTCAAAAGAGTACAAGAAATGTGAGTTAGTATTTAATCAACTTACTTCTAAACTCTAATCCCTAGTGTCATTTATAAAGATAAATTTCTTATTTACCAAGGAAACTTGAATAAAAAGAAATCTTCTCAAATTGAGTTCCCTACTCTTCATTAGTGCACAAAGGAATAAGTTTCTTTGCCCACCGCCGTAGATCCTATTTTAATCTTTATTTTAAGTGAATCTCTTCCTATCATCTCAGGCCCGATAAAAAGAGTCCAAGTGACACAACTCTAGCAACACATGATTTTTAAATATACAAAAGCAAATCTAAAATTTTTAATTAACACTAATGAAATATGGAAGAAATTAAAAATAAACAATTTTTTTCTTAAATTCAAATCATTTATAGTCCTAGAATAAACAAAGAAAGGGGACTGCAATTGCTGGGATGTTTCCCTTCATATATATATATACTTTTCTTCATTACAAACAGAACACCTAAACAAATATTCAGTCATTGTACATAAAATATATTATAATTAAAATTTGTGTGAACACTTGCAAGTTTTTTACGTGGAAATTGTAAGAAGAAACCAAACATGGGAATTTTTTTTTCTTGGGATCCTTTTCTCAGCTGAATATGACTCAAACCTAAACTATTTGTAAGACTAAATTAATGGTTGTCCCTTGTTCTCATATCTAATGGGGTAAGGGGGAGGTAAGATAGTAGGCTGCCCCCAACACCAGGTTGAAAGCAGCTTCCGTAGAAGACCTCCGAATTATTAAATACCCTCCGTGAGACTCGATCCCACGACCTCAAGGTTAATATCCTTGTGCTCTACCAACTAAATTAAGTGTTAGCCAATTTGATAATGTGTTTGATTAATCAAAACAGGGTTTTCATTCTTTTACTCAAAACTTTGAAAATTGAACCGATAAAAGTCAACAGATCAAACAGTGAATGCTAAAGAATGGGAAAATTAAAAGGAAATAAATTTCCACAAAAATATAGACTGACACACAACCTTTGAATTTTCTTTCCTTTTCCTTTTTTTAATTTTTAATTTAAGTTCATGAGCCATATGCAGCCAAATTCTGCATTCTCCTTCTATAAATATAGTTTGATAGTAGAAGCCTGTAGTTCTCATCTGATCTACATTTCTGCAAAACATGGCAAAGTCTTGTATTGTTGGGCTGTTTTTGTTCTTTGTTCTGTTGGCCAGCCATGGAATTGTGGAACTTGAAGCATCCCATCATGTTTACAGGAAACTTCAAACAGTTCAATCTGCAAATCAACCTTACAGAACCAGCTATCATTTTCAGCCTCCCAGAAACTGGATAAATGGTATATTTCACCAATTAAAATCTCTCATTCCAGTTTTTTTATCTGTTTTGTTCAATGTCTAACTATTTGTGTTCTGGTTCCATGTTTTGTCGACTGCAATTGGATATGGCTTGATGAACAGATCCTAATGGTTAGGGCTCTTTGGATTGGAAAAACCTGAGTTGTAATGCATATTTTAGATGACAAAAGTGGCTGAATTTACTGCTGATTTTTCAGGGGTTATGGTCTACAAGGGACTTTATCATCTTTTTTACCAATACAATCCAAAAGGAGCGATGTGGGGCAACATTGTCTGGGCTCATTCCACATCAAAAGATCTTGTGAATTGGACCCCTCATGAACCAGCTATCTTCCCTTCCCAACCAGGTGATATTAATGGTTGCTGGTCTGGTTCTGCCACCATCCTCCCTGGTGGCAAACCAGCCATGCTTTACACCGGGATCGACCCGAAAAACAACCAAGTCCAGAATCTGGCCGTGCCCAAGAATTTATCCGATCCTTTCCTCAGAGAATGGGTGAAGTCACCAAAGAACCCTTTGATGCAACCAACTGCACAGAACCAGATCAACGCCAGCTCCTTCAGAGATCCTACAACAGCTTGGTTAGGCCCTGATAAGAAATGGAGGGTAATCATTGGAAGCAAGGTTCATCGCCAGGGCATGGCTATCCTTTTCAAGAGCAAAGATTTTGTGAATTGGGTTCAAGCGCCGAACCCTTTGCATTCAGCCGATGGCACTGGGATGTGGGAATGCCCAGACTTTTACCCTGTTTCACTCCGTGGCCGAAATGGAGTCGACACCTCTGTTAATGTTCCATCCGTCAAGCATGTTCTTAAGGTCAGCTTGGACGATACAAAGCACGATTTGTACACGATCGGGTCGTTTGATAGTTCGAGGGACGTCTATATACCGGACAAGGGATCGGTCGAAAATGATTCGGGGTTGAGATATGATTACGGCAAATATTATGCTTCCAAGACATTCCTAGACAGTATCAAAGACAGGAGAATATTATGTGGTTGGTTGAATGAATCATCGAGTGTAGCTGATGATATCAAGAAAGGATGGGCTGGAGTACACGTAAGCTTCTTTTTTTTCTTTTGGTTTTTTCGTTGTTTGTTTCTTAACAGCTAAACAACTTGTGATTATGGACTGATTTTGCAGGCAATTCCTAGGCAAATTTGGCTCGACAAAACTGGAAAACAATTGATACAATGGCCGGTTGTAGAAATAGAGAAGCTACGTGCAAATCACGTAAGCCTGCCTACCAAATTGCTCAAGGGAGGATCGGTTGTTGAAGTTTCTGGTGTTACTGCTTCACAGGTGAGTTTCTTGTTTCATCATGCCTGAGGCTTGTTAATAACTCAAGTCAAATCCATTCGATTCGAGTAATAACTGAGTTGTTCAATAGCTTATGATCTATATCGTCTCATTTACAGCCCTAATCATGCCTACCGGTAAAACCAACTTGGACTTTGGTTCAATTCACTAACATACTTGCTCTTTGAATTCATCTTACACAGGCAGATGTTGACGTTTCATTTCAGATAACCAGCTTTGACAACGCTGAAGTGCTGAAGCCAAGCTGGACCAACCCTCAGCTTCTATGCAGCCAACAGGGTGCGTCGGTTAAAGGCGGTCTGGGTCCATTTGGGCTGCTAGTTTTAGCATCCAGGGGCTTAAGTGAGAACACTGCAGTGTTTTTCAGAATATTCAAAGGTCAAAACAAATACATGGTGCTAATGTGTAGTGACCAAAGCAGGTCCCCCCTTTCACACTAAACAAATTTCAAAGCTTTTCAATTTCCTCCCATGATTACAAAAGCTTAACTCTCTTGTTTTTTCTGTCCACAGATCCTCCCTAAACCAAAACAATGACAAGACTACATATGGGGCTTTCTTGGATGTGGACCCTCTTCATCAAAGCTTGTCATTGAGGAGTTTGGTGAGTTTCTTTGGATATTTATACCATTAAATATTGTTTTACTTTTCTAAGTTTCAATGACAAACAGGTACTCGAACCTAAATCCAGCTTTCCTACACACTTTGTACTTTACCCAATTACCTCAACTCTTTGACAAACAAGGCCCACACTGAAAAATGGGGATACCAAACTTTCTACATTTGGCAAAGGCATAAACATAAAATTATCACAACCTTAGCCAAATTAATCATTTTGTATCTATTTCTTTTTGGGAACATTTTAATTTTTAAAGTTTAAATTTTTAGTCAAAATAGATCTTATTAGATGAAAACCCGTTAATTGACTAACGATCAATACACTACTAACATAACATTTCCACATGTGTTCAATTTCAGATAGATCATTCCATGGTGGAGAGCTTTGGTGGGGGTGGCAAAGCGTGCATGTCAGCTAGAGTTTATCCCACACTGGCAATTAACGACGCTGCCCACCTCTACGTTTTCAACAATGGAAGCGAAGCCGTAAAGATTGAAAAGTTGAATGCTTGGAGCATGAAGAAGGCCAAAATCAATTGAAGTTATTACTTCACAAAAAAAACATATAGAGGAGCATTAATATTTGGGGGGGGGGGGGTAAATACTAATTTATAAACCACCCAAGGGCTAAAATCCTCTTAAAATCTCAAGCTTGCTTCACACGTTCTTATAAAGGACATGTTGAGCTCTTCTTTGGAAATAGAGATCAATGATCAATATGATATAAAAAGAAAAGGATTTTTTGCAACTCAAAAGCTATGGTTCCATGGGGATTTGAGAGAGAAAGATTATGGGGCATTTGGGAGGGAAAGACGACAAAATATATAAGTCGTTCTCAAAAAGTATAAACGTTAAAGAGTGGTAGCAAAAAAATTATCATTCATGTATATTTTTATCATGTTCCGTATTTTCCATATCAAAATCTCGAACATTAATACAATACACATTGACCATTTTGCAGCTAATTTGTTTGAAACGTGAATCAAACGATCTCGATAGTAAATGAATTGTTATTATTCTTTGAGGTTCTGAGTTTAAACACAGTGAATGCTAGAGGTATGAACATTTAATGTTAAATGATTGAGAGTTATCTTTGAACAAATATTATCTTCTAATTACTCCAAATTAATATATATGGGATACCATAAGGAGGGAAGTTATGACCACATAACTTGGACAATGCAAAGCAAACTTAGAAACATAGCCTAATAAAAAAATGTTGCCAACAACGAAACCAACAGTTTTAGTATATTATGCTGCATGAAACTATATTAACAGACCATTTACGATTTAAAAACATTACACAGGTTTATAGTTCCACTGCCATATATATCAGTAGAGGGCAACCCAATCCTCCATAAAAGAAAAAACAAGAAAAAAAGTTGACTCATATACTCACAATTAGGGAATATTTATCACTCAAAATTTTAAGCAACCAAAATGGTATCCGCTTTACTACTGTTGCTTACGCTCTCGAGAGCGCTGACTTTGGCCGGCATTTGCACTTCCACTCTGCAGTTCAAACAAAACCCATGCATTAAACAAATAATAGCAAATAAACTTATAGAATGGCTTATAAAGCCCCCATGCCTAGAGTAAACATATGACACACCATCTCATGATATAGACCCAATAACTTGATGCAGGAAATATTCAAGAAATTAAATATTATTTCAGAAACAAGCTATGTTAAAGATCTTCAAGTGCGAAATATGGGTTCAGTTAAGTGTTAACGAGCTATTATTAACCTTCTTTTTGCCCTTATTATCTTCTCCCTCATCTTCCTCATCTCTGTCCTCACCAACATCTTCATCCTCGTCATCATCTTCATCATCACTGTCAAAATCACCTTCTAAGGCATCATATTCATTCCCCTGAACAGCTTCCCCCGTAAACCATGATACTGCATGGGGAATTAGTTTGTCCCGAATCTCCGAGCTACACAAACAATCCAACATTTCATTTGAGAAATAAAAAATGTGAAGATGGCACGAAAACATATGCAAAATAGTGAAATATCACTTGCAACATAATTTTCTTCACATTTCAAGAAGCTAGCACTAACATTTTCCCCAATTTTCATCCCTTACAAAGCATCAATGACAGTTCTTTTCAGAGAAAAATGATTTTATTCTCAAAATAGCAATAAACGAAGAGGATTAATATGCCAAACTGACCTTACACCGGAAACACTTGCTAAAAAGAAAGTGCCCTGGTAAGATACTACCAAAAAAATGCATTTTCTAAATAGCTCTCACTAAAAGAGAAGTCATAAACTCACCCAATGTTATAGTCATGTTCCATTCGATCCTGAAGTTCCTCAGCCTATAAATTGATATATCAAAGGAACTAAGAATAAACACATGGAATTATTAAGTTAGCCTTCCTATTCAAAAAGAAAATGCCAAACTTACAAGCTCATCATCGATATCACCATCATCATCAGGGATCTGAGGAGGGTTGAAGAAGTTAAAGAAACTTTCACAATTTTCAGTTTTCGTAATGGGCTTAGCATTCTTCGATCCTTTCTTGGGCTTCTTTTTCAGGACCTTCTGTGTCAGGCATTTCCCAGGACACCATTCTATCTTCGTTCTACAAATTACCCTAAATTTTAAGGTATGTGTAGAAGGATAACCCAAAAATTTCTCAGTAGAAAAGCATATATTAACTCACCCAAGCGCTTTCTCCAAAATGGGCTCATTTTCATCATCAACCATGTGATAAGTTTTAGTCAGGACAGAATTCTTAAAATAAGGGTTAGAATAAAAAAAAAATTCCAGCTTGAAACCCTTAGGATCATCCCTTCTGCCCCACTTGATATCTTTAAGATACTTGAGAGCCCCTTCATCCCGCTCTGTAATCTGTATCAGCAAGGATAAATCATAACACACATTTTCAATCAAAAAATAGATCTTATTACACAGAACTACACGACACATGTACCTCCTCAGCCAAAACTTCATTCGTTTTCATTGCAGTGAGCCAAAAGTCAGGCACTCCTTTTTCTGCATTTAAGGTTATGTAAAACCATCTCAAGAATAATGCATTGATACAATTTCAGAAACATTGCATGAGTCAACCAAGATTTAATACCTTCTACACATCCATCCCCTTCTTTGTCTATCATTGCTTCATTTGTCTCTCCTTCAACCTTCGCTATACCATTCACAATTTCATACCTCTGCATTTTCAGTTATTAGAAGAAAGGATCAAGATAAAGAGGAAGGCTCATATAATCTGTCTGCCAAGAAATATGCATGTGAATAAACTGACGTTCATGAAACAAGAAATATCATAATATAAAAAGATTTGGATATGATATAATGAAGCATTAATGTCCAAAAAAGATCCACAAAGACCTTGGTATAAAGTGGTTCATAATGTTTCTGATACTTGGCCTCCAATGCAGCTCTCTCCTCAAAAAACTTCTTCTCCAGTGCATCATGTTCACTCTGCAAAATGGATATGTAAGAAATTATCTTGAAACCAAACAAACAGTCCAATACTCCAAACAATTGTCGAAGAAAAGGTGTCGGCCTTCCAATTTTGTTAAACATCAGCATTTTCAACCAAATCTTGTCACTGCAAGTGTTAAAGACCAAACGAAAACAGGAGTAGAAAATTCATACAAAGAAATCTGATATCAAATTCAAGGAAAGTTGATAGTATAAGTATAAAAGAAAACAGAAGGATAGAGAAGCTTGAATATAGAATGAACTAGATAGTTCTACGTGGTATAGATGAGTTGTACTTCCTATCAGGTGTTCATGTATTAGTAAATCCAATGTTTTAGGAAATATAAAAACTTCCCCTTAAGGAACTCAGCACAGTAACGAGGACAAAAAGGAGCAATATTAAGAAAAAACATCCACCATAGAAGCTAAACACATGTATGCTAGTATATAACCGGTCATGAACTTAGGAGTCTCCATTTAAGCTTACATTATCCGAAAGCAATCCCTATAACAGATTCAAACATCAATCAACATGCCAATATTCATTCTCTATGAATCATAGCATTCCCACTCACAGAAGTTACCTTACAAAGAAAAATATCAACTGCAAGGCAAAAAATTGACACGAAAAATGCACACGTCCTACACCTGCCAATCCACCCCCACCCCAAAAAAAAATAAAAAAGGAAAAAGGAAAACAAAAAATGTAAAGAGGCTAAAACTGAAAATGTTCCTCAAAATAACCAATATAAGAGTTATGAGAATCCAAACAATTGATTGAGCTATAGCATGTTCTGGGATGTATAATCACATAAATAAATTGGCAACAAATCGCAGTACTTCTAAATGATGAAAACTAGATGTGCAATACAAACAGAGAGAACATAAATTTAAAATCAGATGTACAACCTGAATCTCTCTGAGAACCTCAACACGCTTTCTGACATGTGGTGATAGAGTTTCTAGTACATCAGCATGTTGTCCCGCTAAAGTTTGGAGCTTATTCTGCAAAAATGTAGTAAAAAAGGTGCTAAACACACCAATTGAAATAACACAACTTCACAGTCCCCACACCATCAACAAACACAGTGTATCAAACGGTGAGCCATCAACGCTAAAAGCATACTACTTCTAAATATAAACAAGCTTAAGCATAATTCTCATTTGTTATTTTCTATTCCAAAACATATTTGATATTTCCGTTCCATTTACACATTTTACAATAGAAAAGCAAAAGCATTAAAAATAAAAAAGAATTACTTGCCTTAAGTTCATTAACCAGCCCGGCGCGTTCCTCTGCGCTCAAAGCTGCGGACGGAACAATCAGATGCTTTTTATATAAAAAAAAATTCACGTGATTCCAAATAACGACAATCGAAATCACAACCGCAAAATATTTATAAAAAATCAAACGGGTAATTTCCAATGCCATATTATCAAAAAGTGATATGGAAATAGAATAATTAAGTTGGTATACCGGCAGCGGCAGCGGGGAGGGCAACGCTGAGATCGGATTCGTCATCGTTGCTCATTTTTTTTCTTTGGCGACGAAATGAGTGTTTGGAAAGCAATAAAAGGAAAATGCAGCGGGAAAGGAAAAAGGGAGAACCCTAGGAAACGTGATCGGGGGCGAGCTTATTTATTACAGAGTGAAAAAAAGTGATGACTGATGAGGGATTGGCCATAGATAGTAGTGTTCTTCACGCGTGATCAAGGAGCGTCGTGTTTGGAGGTCGACCAAGTGGATATGTTAGCTGGACCCACAGAAACCACCTGAATGTGAAAGTTTTGCTGATAACTATATCTCAAGTTTAATTTTACTTTTTTTATAGTAATGAATATTTGATCTAAATTTTGCGGGTTTGATCTTATTTAATTTGATCGAGTTAATTTATTTAAAAAAATAGATTTGATTTAAGTTGAATTTTTTTAAGGTGTGATTAGATTAAGTTCGTTTAAAGTGAAAAAATGTCTTTAGAATTTATTTAGCACTTAATGTGATTTATGAATTAAAAAAATAATTTAACTATTTTACTAAAGAAATTGTTAACAATTACAATATTGACGTGACGATTTATTATACTAACGTAACAATTCAAAATATTGATTACATATCTTAATTTGACCAGTGAGTTAACGTGAAAATGACAATACAACCTACAACTATATAGTAAATTTAAAAATAAAAATAAATAAATATTTTTTTACCTAAACCATTATTACAAGAACAAAGGAATGTGCCAATGAAAGATTTGCTTCCCAGGAAACTTAAATGTTTTACGTAAGGCAATAGACCTTCACTAGAAACCGGTGGTTTTCATGTTCATATCCTAAAACAACAAAGCATTTGCTCATGGACTCCGTAAACGCCTTTGTATCGATGTGCTTCTACCGACTGTTTTTATTCACTGCGTCAACTTCTGTATATAATGCACAAATGAACGGTGTACGCACGTGTGCGTGTATATATATACACCCACACGCATACCTACAGATAGATTTTATCTGCAATAATTTACGACTATGCGAAGCTTTTACCAAGGGGTGTGCTATTTGTACAACTTCACCCTCGAAAAGCCGAAAGAAATTGTTGTGAACTCAAACCCTGTTTAATTCATGTACTTGTGATGTGTTCCATTAGCTGCAAATGACCTCTACAGAGTGTTTCTTCATGACATTAGGACACGGATCTCCACCAAACATTTCGGGTGCTACTGTCACTGAGCAGAAGTTTTGCCCGACGCAAAGCTGCAAGGATAAAGTGATACAAGTCAATATGTACCGAGCAATGAAACAAAGAGCTCTAAAAAGAATCATCTTCGAAAATCAAATATCCGAAGGAGAAAACTTAACATACCCTATTAAAAGCATCATAAGAATGGAAAGCGTGACAGCTCCCTTAACTGTAGCTTCCACATTCCCCATCCGGAGTTCCGAAGCTGGCAAACTTTACTGCTGAGATTTTCTGCCCCGCATCGCACTCTAAATGGACTTTTGGCCTTAAGGCTTTGTCAACTTTACCGGAGGCTTGCATCTGGTAATTCATTAGGGTTGGTTGCCACTCATGGATATCAGCACATACACCGTCGGTTTCTCTCCAAACCAAAGAGATCCAGTTCGGGTCCCCGCCCCATACCTCAAACACAACCAACAAATTACCTGTAGGGTTGAGCCATGAACGAGGAACATGATACCTAAACGTTATAGTATAAGACCACAGGTAAGTTTATCGACGATCCTCGCTTGTAAGAGCAACTTTAAGCGGATTAGTTTGTTTCCTTACCATCTTTGAGAGGCCTCTCCACAATTAGTTCTACATTTGTTCTCATCATAATATCCGGCATAATTACAGACGCTGCAATTTCCGGATGCTTTATACGCTGGCCAATGGCGTCCAATACTCTGTCCATTTATCCAAATCTGACCTTTTCCCATACTTCTCATATCTAAAGCCTACGGAGCATTTCCGGCTGGAGCATTGAAAGTTGTCTGCAAAATTAAAGAATGTCAACAAACACGAACTGAAACCGCCTTTCACATGTTTGGTTGTATTTCGAGATACTTGCTTTGTACCATGTCAGTGGCTTCCTTTGAGCCACTAACGACCCCTGTGCCCACTCCACGGTCAAACTACCACTTAGCGAATGAAGATTCAATGCTTCTCCCTTAAGGCCAAACTGCAAGGGAAAAATAACCAAATAACTCTATGGCACATCTCGAAAAATACTACCATGCAAATGAAAGACCTTGTAAGTCCATTTTTTCCATGAGAGATCTTTCCTCCCTTCATTGAGACCATTCAATGTAACGGGGCCAAGCACACTAGCATTCCATGTCTTGAAATGTGGACCGACGTTCTGCATTCAAACCAAAAAATCAATCATTCATCAATAAATTCCACTGTCACAAAGCTGGAAACAAAGAGCATACCGGGAGGCCAACAGCAATGCTTAGAAGTGAAATTTTATTGATACCAGCTCTCAAATTAACACCATCGCTGAATGTTAGTTTTGGGAATTCTAGACTTCCATAAGAACTTCCTGACGAAATCAATTCGAGGAAAAAAATATGAGGGAAAGAAACAGTAAATAACCTTTCACACAACCAGGTGCTGCAAATTAAAATCAATGATAAGCTCACCTGATAGTCAACCGTTAATGAATACGTGCAGAGCATGGCCAGCAGATAAGACAGAAAGAACGGGAGATTTTCCATTCTTGAAGAATTCTTCACTGGGGTCAATCTCAATGCTGGCGACGGAAGTATGTACAAAGCATTAGAAATTCAAATGCGGAGAACGGAAACAAATTGGATAGGAGATAGTTTTGCTCTTAAATAGAAGAACTATTGCTTTGCAAAAATTTATTTGAATAAAGAAAGATGATGGGAATTGCAAAGAGATATTTCTCTTCACTACTTACTCAGTTGTATACCACAAATAGTCAGTTGAGTCTCGGGTTGTATTTATCTGCTCCAACAACCCAACCATTGTGAACGTACTGTCAACATCCAAAGCTGACTCTTCAGTATATGCTTGCCAAGAGAATCCTCCATGCATCGGAACAGGAACCATTTTCTTCTGAGCAATCTGGGCACCAACCTGTTATGAAAAGTTTCTTATCAATCTCAAAGTTGTACTTATCTTGCACGATCAACAGAAGAAGAAAAAACTCTGGCTGATTGCCCTCGTATTAGTTCTATGTAAAAGCTGCAATTTGCAAACATCTAAATTGTTGCATGTTATGATATTAAACTTGATGAAGTTAGTGGCAAGATGCTTGCCAGAAATCAGTCTCGACACATAGTACCGCCGCCGACAGGAATAAACTTGGTTTCAAGTTCATTGAACCTTTCTTCTTACCCTTGCAGTGTTATACACAGTATGCTTGCAGTCGGGAAGAATGCTGATAGACCAGGGCGGCAGGTTATAGTGCATGTCCCTAAAGGCAACTTTTGCAAATGAATTTGTGTCGTAATCTGCAAGGAAGGCGGCACAACCTCCGGATTTATAATTGAACACATGAGCCTGTATGTTTAGAATGGAATTTATATTTAAGTCTTGCAGACAAAGCAATCGAAAGTAGGATTGAGGTTCTTAGAAATACAAGTTTTATTAACCTCCTGATCAATTCCAAGTTGCATAAGTGTGGGATCTCCAGATACTAAAGCTGGTTCACAGAGCTTTATTGCTCTATGCAAATCTTTCAAATGGCCCCACTTGGGTTGCCTCAACAGTCCTGTATGACAAGAACCGGTTCTCGTTCAAATCAACCTCAAGGATCTAATCCCTAAACTATACTTTCACACTCGATATGAATGGTAAAAGGCATAGAATGTACAGTTCAAATCAAGTAGACAAAAGAAATTAGAAGATGCATAGCAAACTTGGAAAACAATGTGCAATTGATACTTTGAACTTACCGTATTCATCAAGCGGAGCATCATAATCATAGCTAGTAGCAATGAAAGGACCCCCCAGCAGTTCGGCCAAAATTTGTTCCTCCATGATACTTATAACACAAAAGACAAGCATATGAAACACATTCTTCCAGAACTTGAACTTGGTAAATTGAAAGGAAAAAAAAACATTTTGATTACCATATAGTAATTAATGAAGGATCCTCCTTTTTGTATAAACCTTGCAACTGAAAATGCCATGTCTTCAGCAGGTCTATAAGGAACTGCCCCACCAAACTCCGTAAAAAATAAAAGAATCATCATTCATCACGAGACGCCAGTATTTCTTTCGAGCAAGGGATAACTGAAAAAAGAAAAATCTTTTGGAGACAAAAGAAGGCTTACCAGCCAGTCCAGGCTTCAGTCCACATCTTTGGCTTGTAGGCCTTGTTATGCGAAAAGTAGTCACAGTAGAAACCATTACAGGTGTTAATCTGTTGGAAGTAAAAAAAAGGTTACGAATCCTCGAAATGAATTGAAAAAGTGCATCCCCTACAGCAGTATGTAAGATCAAATGGGTGCCACACTAAATGAGGAAAGGAACATGGCCAATTGGCTATCCATTTCAATAAAAATAAATATATACACATATAGGACTAAGAAACAGCAAAGCTGAGCCATGTGCAATGAAAAATAAAATATCATGTAAACTATGACTAAAACAAGTAGGCAACACACTGTTCACTAACAATTAAACAAGAAAAAAATGTATGCATTCTAACACAGGTCTGGGAAAGAGCAATGCTGAGTCATGTGTAACGACTAACGAGAAATAGTATATAATTTGAACTATGACTTTAACAAGTAGACGACACACAGTTCATTAACAATTATACTAAAGAGGATCGAACATGGCATGATGGCCATTAAGATTGGATATAGAACATGACAAGATAAATAGGCATAGTTTACTTACAATAGGACCAGGTGCATCATCTTGCTTGCACATGATCCATGGGACACCAGTGCCTAGATCCACAGCCATTTTAGCTGCCCAGTCACTGTAAGCTTTAGCAGGTGCACCGAGTTCGTATTCCATAGGTCCATATTCATTTTCAATCTGTCAAAAGCAGAGATTATAACTACACATAAAACAGATGGTAATATCTATATCTTACACCAAGAGAACTTAGAACTGAGGGCCAGATCAACAAACTTAGAACGAAGTGCCAGATCTACCTGAGATAGAATAATAGGACCTCCTTGAGTCTCCAACAACCGTTCTGCTTTCATCACATCCACAATCTTTTTTGTAAAATTTTGCATTTGAACCTTCATCATAGCAATTCAGTAAGTATATTGGTTCCTCGAAAAATAAATTCCAGAACAGAAAATAATATTAAATGAATTCAATTAAACATCGGATTGACGATCAGAAATCGGCAAACCTTGAAAGGTCCATTGTCTGTTCTGAAATTGATACCGGGAATGTACTTCAGCCAAACAGGAAAACCCCTGAAAAATCAAATAAAATTCATTGCTTGAACTATACACTTCACTGTGAAATCCTAAATATTTCTGGAAAATAAAACTTTTTAGCATTACCCAAAGTTCCACTCAGCACAGACATAAGGACCAATCCTCAGATGAACATTGAGACCTGCTTGCTTCACCGGCTTAATAAATTTGACCAAATCATAGTTGCCTTCGAAATAAAAATGGAAAGTAAATTTCAGAATTTTTTTTATGCCATCAGCTCATTAAACCAAGGTATAAGCTTTTTTTCTGAAAAAAAAATGTTGATGTTTAATTACTTTTCCAGGAGCAGGCTCATGGCCATTCCAGAAAACATATGTCTGAATTACATCTAGCCCTCCCTCTTTAGTTTTCTCTATAAGATCTGGCCACATCTGTAACACAAAGGACCGAAGTTTAGGTACTTTTCTTAAGAATAAAACAACATACTACATTAACAGAATGATTTATGCATACAGAAAGCGCATCAAAATGCTATAAAAACTCTGACTTTTGAGGGGGGGAAAGAGACCAAAGAAAATGAAGCTAAAATGTTTACCTCAGGTGAGCTTCTTGGGTAGTGAATGGATCCAGAAATGAGGATCCGTCTTTGGCCATTAATGGTGATAGCTCTACTGTCATAGGAAACAGAAGAAGAAACAGAAGAAAACCAGGAAGCTAATAGAACAACGAACAAACCATTCCACATTACAAGAAGCTTGGAGTTTGAATCAATGGCCATGGAAAAATTAATTTTTTTTTAACAAAAGGCAAACATTTTTACACAAAGCAATGCCCTTTTTTAGTCTCTCTGTATCCAGAGGTAGAAAAAAGGAAAATATCAAAGATCAAAGATCAAAGAGAAGGAAAGAAAAGAAAAGAAGAGGAAGAGGAAGAGAGACAAAAGACAAAAAGCAAGTAGCTGCTAGCTGCTAGCTGGTTAGATGTTTGAGTGTCCAATTAAAAATTATATTTTTAATTTAAAGACATAGCATTTATGTTCAAACTTCAGTGGGAGTTAAAACGATAAAAATATAGAAGTATGTATAGAATGATATATTCCCGCCTCAAAGAATTGTTTTAAGTACATAGGGTATATGATACATAAAGATTAGGTTTAGATTATGACATTACACACTATATAAAGGTGAGATGACTAAAGTAGAAGGTTGCTACTGGAGTTTTGTGTGACAAGAAAATGTCTCTAAAACTTAAGAAATTTTTTTATAGAATGACAATAAGACCAGCGCTGATGTATGGATCAGAATGTTGGGCAAGCAAAAAGGATCACGTAAGGAGGATGGAGGCTGAATAAATGAAAATGTTTCGATGGGCACGTGGTAGAACTCTGTGGGACATAACTTCAAACTCTGCAATTAGGATGTTTTTGGGGTGGTGTCTGTATATGAAAAATTGAGGGAGGGAAGACTACGGTGGTTTGGGCATGTCTTTAGGCGACAACCGTCGGATGCGGTCAGGAGGGTAGAATCGATTACAGTCGACGGTGCCAGAGGAGAGGACGACCAAGGAGGAAGTGGGTAGACTGCTTGAGATCTAATTTGAAGGATTTAACCCTTACCGATGACATGACTTCTGATAGCAAAGTATGAAGACTTAAGACCATGGTAGCCGAGTAATGTGGGTCATAGCCATAGGGTGTAGCATCTCTGTCTTCTTTTTAATGTATTTGTAATAATTTCCATGACTTCTACTTTTTATATGTTTTTGACATTAGAATTTATGAAAGCTTAGAACTAGTGTAGCGGAATAGTGTTGTCTTAGTTTAGGTTTTAACCAATTTGATTTTATTCATTCTCGTAACTTGTTATCGCTGGCTTCTGTGTATTCTTCTCTTCATGTTTTCTCTTTTTAAATTTATCCAGGTCTTACGTTTCTGTCTATATGCAGATATTTTTATGTAGGGATTACTTTCCATTACAAACGCGCATATGAAGACTGCATAAGAAGATTATTCAACTATGTATTTATTTATTTATTTATACATGCATTGTATTTTATATTTATTTTTAGTTTTCTGACTGTCGGAGGTATTCCACGGAAGATGCTCTCAACCTGACGTTTGGGATAGTCTACCACTCTATCTCCCCTTACCTCATTGCATATGATAATAAAATTTTGTTGTTGTTGTAAAGAGGAAAATAGAGCGAAAGCCGTATAATATATAATTGTTTCATTGAGCTTTGGTTTTTGCAGCTCATGTCTAAAGCCATTGGAGGCTTTGAAAGTGAAATGGCTGAGCCCTTTACAAAGCCTTTTGACCCCACTCTTCCGCCATATTTTTACACTTTAACTGCTGCTTTAATCCTTCTTTGTAAATTGATTTAAAAATGATAATCCACTTGTTTGGGATCAAGTTTCAATTATGATGTCAATCAAAATTTAAAAACCCAATATAGATTTTAACTTAAAAATCATATTAATTATAGGGTAAACAATCATTACAGCAATTGAAGTTTCTAAAACATAGGGACTTATTACAGCTTCCCTTCCCAATTACAAGTTCTTTAATTAAATCCCATTTCTAATAAATAAATAAATAAATTATTTTAAGTTACATTTGAAGTTAGATTTTTCAAATCCAGCAGTATGTACAATTCCTTGTATCTAAGTAGTAAAAACAGGCGGCAGCACTTTCGATCGTCTTCCCTTCACCGGAGTTTTCGTGTCCGGAAAATTCCCGTCACTGTCAGCAACATCTTCAACCAAACCTTCGGCTGTAACTCTAACAGGGTAAGTGACAAGGTGAACTCCTTCCATGTCCATGATTTCTTCATCTGCATAAATTTGCCACATTTTGTCACCTAATGAACGCATTTTGTACACACAGTCCAAGCCCTGCGGCTCCAGAAAAATGTCGTCAACAAGTCCGGTGTGCTCGTACCATAGCGACATCCGGTAATCATGGATACCTCTGGGAGACGCAGAATCGATTTCAGGACTCCCCGACGACAACTGATAGCACCCGATAGCAATCTCGGTGTCTCGACGGCCATCCATTGATCTTTGGTTCACGTTGGCAGATCCTATTAGAATGTACAAATCATCCACTGCAAATACCAGCAACAAGCATGGTTATATTCAACAGAAAATATAAAGAAAATATTTAAATTATATGAAAATTTAAAATTTTCAGATGCGACCACATCCCAATATACTTCGATATTACCTATCATGACCTTCGAGTGGACGTAAACCATGAACCTCCTATGCTTTTGAGCATTCCAGTATTGTGTAGAAGGATGAGGGGACTGTGGGGGAACAAACTCATCTATTCTCTCTCTCTCCCTATTCGCAAGACAAAAGAAGTTCAAGTAATCCCTGGGATGTCCTTTCCCACCAATTTCTTTTAGGGCTTCACCGATCAATTTATACATCATCTCCATCGTCTGCCTCGTCCAATGCAATATATCCTGAACCGGTTCACTCTCCGGCACTCCTTCCGGCCACATTGGTATCACTACATACACTGCAAACCTCTCTTTTGCTTTGATCTTGCTCGCCACTTTCAGAGCAATCTCTATGGGAATCAAATTCCGACACCCCGAGTTCTTATCTTTGTCCCATAAGTGGCATCCTCCGATGAAGTACTGGTTTTCAATGTAAATGAATCTCTCGGCTCGTCTTATTGCTTCAACGTAGGCTTCATGGATGCTTTGCTCCGCGGTTAAGTTTCTAGGCAGTTGGTTTGTTGAGACATGGTTGATTGATCGAAAAACTTGTACCTTCCAGTTCCGATCGTCATCGTTGTTATCGGGATTGGTTGAGGGAAAGGGCTGTCGAGTGATGTTTGGTATTGAGTTTATGGGGAGTAATAAAGAAGGGTCGCATTGTTTACTCCATCGTTGCTCGAAATTCGCAAGCACATCCCAAGCGGCTTCCCCGGTTACACAAGCGTGAGCATCATGCCATGGCTCCCTTGGCCCTCCTTTGTGAAGTGTAGCCCCGGAGATGTTCGTTTGATAGAAATCGAAATAATGAGACTCCGAATTAAGCATTCGAAACAACGAATGTTGTTCCGTGTCGTACCGGCCGTCGCAAAGATCAACTCCGCCAACAAAGCTCATGATTTCTCTATCGTTTACCGACGAACCGTGTGCAGCTCTGGTATCAACCGTTACTGTCTTCTGATGGTGAGCGAAGAGTGTGGGGAACTTATGGTGCAACCTAGGACATAATTTGCATACTACTTTGGTGTGTTTGAAATACGCAAAAGCGTCCTCATCATGTGTTCGCATTATCCCTTGGTTCTTGATAAATGGTAAGGAAGTTTCATCGTTCCAAAGCATAATCCTCACAGCTACACCTTCTTCAGCTTTTCGTTTCAACAATTCACCAAGCTTCGCTCCTCTTGCATGCGGAATATTTGTTTCAGGATCCCTCACCTTTGAAATTTAAAAAACATCAAGATAATTAGCATTAGAGAGTAAATTCTAAGGCATAATCACAAAATTACTTCCTAACTTTTGTACAAATGATCACTTTGACGCCTATTTTTTTAGGGAAGCATTTTAGCCCATAATATTTCAATTTTTGGTCAAAATAATTCATATTGAAAGGAAATCGTTTGTTGACTAACAGTTAATACATATTATTGATGTGATATTTTCACATATACTTAATTACCGATGCGTCATATGCCACGTCATCACTTTGAGTGATGTGGCATGTGTCATATCATTGCTTTGAGAGACATGGTATGTATAATCTCATCGCTTTGTCACATTGTCATCATTTTGAATGACGTGACATATATCATGTCAATAATTAAACACATATAAAAATATCACATCAATAATATATATTGATTGTTGACTGCTAGTCAACTGACAGTTTTCTTCCTATAGGGACTGTTTTAACCAAAAATTGAAATTTTTGAGAATTAAAATCTTCTAGAAAAAGAATATTGGTCAAAATGATTATTCTACAGACATTGGGAGTAATTTTGTTATTATACCAAACTCTAACTACTTGTGAGAATCAATGTTTTGATTTACCAGAACCATGGTGGGGTTGAAAGACCAGCCTGCAATATAAACCAAATGTTTAGCACCATCAATGGCCTTATACACATCCTCCCACAGTTTTCTTGGGGAAGAAAATGGAGGCTGAAAAGCTGAGGTATGGTGGGTGTCTTGATAAAGCTTCACATTGCAGTTTGAACGTTGAGGAAACGTAGCATTTCTAAGACCCTGCAATCCTCCATGGTCGATCACTTTTCCCCATGTTGGTTCAAATTCTGCTGGTTTAAACCACAACATGAACCTCAGCTTCACTTCTGGGCTGGTTTTACCATTCTCTAGCTGCAGAGGGAACAACCCATTTATCAAGCTCGACTCGTTCAGTATTTGCCTCGCCTGGATGCTGTATTTTCCTAACACTGAACACTTTGTTTTCATCGTAATGGTGATGGTTGCCTCAGTTGGATGAGCGCAGAGTATTTGGAACGTTTGGTTCCATACACGATCATGTTCGTAGCTTGTCTTGGCTACCTTTGTATTCTCCAGCTTTATCGTCACGTAGGTTGGCTTTCCATTCGCAAGCATGCACTTGAAACAATCAAACAAGTGTTAGATTGGTGGCATAAATTCTTTAACGTTTTATTAAATAGTTATTTTGATTCCTATTTATTAAAGAATTTTTTATTGCAACATTTTGTTTTAGGTTAAAAAACTCATATCATTTGAATAAATAGTTATTTTGACCCATTTTTTTTCTTGGAACATTTTAGCTCCAATGTTTCATTTTAAAACAAAAATGCTCTTCTTTTTTAGCGTTAACAGTTTGTTGACTGATTATTTTCATAAACGAGAGGTCTTTTTGCAAATGTCTTAAAAATAATTAAATAAAATAAATTTAGGATCAATGCTTAATTCCATTAATTTAAAATGGACAGTACCATAAAACTATTATACCAAAAAAATTTAAGAGGACAAGGGCTTAATTGCAATGATTTCAAAACTATTAGTAGCTTAAAAGGTAAGTAAACCATCAAAGTTGGTGGGCCATTGCCCTTCCCACCTATAATGTGGGTTTGTTTATATCTTTTTGTCTCAAAATTGAAACGTTAAGATGAAAATACTTAAAAAATATGAATCAAAATGATTATTTAGTTAAACGTTAATCATTTCTTAATATTATGTGTAGATTAATCTCAATTAATTCCCTACAACTGAAAACACAACGTCGATCTAAAGAACTTACACTGAAAGGAAATGAAGATGTGTATGGTGTGGCATCGAAAATGGAGGCTTCAAGTGTTCCATACAAGAACTTTTGTTTACCCTCCATTGCTAAGAAACCCTCAAATGAATAACAACAATATCAAAGATGAGAATTGATGACTTCTGTTTTAAAGATGGAATGGAATATTTGTTACGTGGTGTTTGAGTATTTAAAGGTAGTGGGTGAGGGGTTGAAGAAGCAAAAATGAAAGCTTGGGTTGGAGAAACTTGTGAAATTCTCCATTACTAATCTTAGATGCAATGTCCAAGTCTTTGACAAGTTTTTCACTTGAAGCTGAAGTTTACTTGGTCTCAAATCACACCGGCCTCCCCCCATTAAAAAAAGTTTGAAAATTTAGTAACTTCTTCTTGCATTTAAACGTATCTCAGACAAAGTAGATAATAGATTGCATACAACTACAAAAAATTCTGGTAATTTTTCATAGATTTATTTCAGGATTGGCTTTATGATAGGATTAAGTTGGACAATTGAATGAGCATGTATATTTGGTCGGTTGGCTAAGTTGTTCATTTTGATTTCTTTATATTCCCTTAGATTATGGGTTCTAGACTTACTAGACACACTCTCATTCCCCTATACTTCTCTCTTTCCCACCCGTCTAAATAAAATTAAGACTAGATTTAAAATTTATTAAAAATAACAAAAAGAAAATTAGAACTTTATAGATAGGCTGAAATATATATCTCCTACTTAAGTTTGACACAATTTTTTAAGTTGGTATTTAAAGAAATTTTCTCGTGAATTAGTAGTTAAAGAATTTTTACTTTTAAAATGGTGTAGAAACTTTAATTTCTTTCACTCTTTTAATACTTTTTTTTATATAAAATTTAAAGTTTTAAAAACACACATGATATCATTATTAACATGTGATATAATTTTATGTTGTCACATCATCAAAAATTAAAATTATTAATAAATATTATTATGTCATGTCACATCATCATTTATGTTAAATTAAAGATTAAATTTATCTGTAAGGTACCAAAATAGAAATAAAACATATCGTTAAATATGATTTTGAAAAAAAGTTGAATGGTTAAAATAAAAACAAAGGAATAGATGGGTAATCAAATTAATATGTTGTTTTTCCTTTTTTTTATTTCTTTATTTGTGAGATAAAAGATGTCTAAGCCTGGTTTTAATTAATCTATTGTGTTAAGATTTGTGATTTAATCTTTCTAATTTGATTTGACATAATTTGATTCTTTTATTTTTTATAATATTACCAATATCTTCATTTTCTATTTTTTTAAAACATCTATCATTTTAAGAGAAACATTAATGATGTTATTAATTGAATCTACTAATAATATTATAAAAGTAAAAGATTGAATTACGTCAAATTAAAATATATGGATCAAATCATCAATTAACAACTAAGCTAACAGATCAAAACATTAGATCCTTTAACGAGATGTTTGCATACTAATATTGTGAATGAAAACAAATTAGACTTGGAGGGTCACCTCATAATAAACCTCTATTTTATCTTATTCGGATTAATCGATCAATAAATCGAATATCGATGGTTATACAAAAAATAGAATGATCAAATCTTAAATTTTAAGATAGTAGAGAGAATAAAAAACACTATTAGACCAAAAAACTAAAGGAAATCAAAAAAATGGCAAGGGGGAGAGGAAACATCGAGTCCTCTGCGAGAAGGAATGGTGTTACGGTGGAGAAATGGTCGAACAATGATGCCAAGCGTAGGAGGGAGTTCACTGTGTTCATCAACAACATCAGTAAGAAGATCCATCCAGCCACATTGAAAGATTCCTTTGCAGAGTATGGGGAGGGCGTGGACACTTTGATCGCGTATTGAAATTTGAAGAGAAAATAAAACAACGTTTGCATTTGTGACGCATACCGAGCAGTGGAGGGGAGACAAAAGGGTGATGGATGTATACATTATTAGGGTTTTTATGGATGAGGACACAATCTATAACTCAACAAACACAAGAGAGCATAATAGAACGTCTGCTGATGATGGGGCTAAAAGAACTCTAGTGTGAAGAAAACACCCGAGATCCAAGGATATCAGGTCTTTTAAGGAAGCCCTTGTTGGTTAAATGGAGGGCCGTGTGCACAAAGAGGTGCGGTGAAGGATAAGATCGAGATTGGGGTGCAGAATGCGACTAAAGTTAACCTTGTAGATGAACTTCCAGCAAGTCAACATAACCAGATGGAGATAAAGGAGAAAACCATCAACATTCTTAACTCAGAAATGGAATGGAGAAGACTATGCCTAGTGGGTAGGATAAAAGGGATGTAGAACGTTGATCTAATCCAAGAGGATCTAATATCGGATGGATTTAACGTTAGAGTACATCCATGGTATGAGCTTTTGGTAGTTATTCAGTTTTCATGCAAAGAGGAACTCCTAAGGTGCTGGAGTAGAAGAGAGGAATTAGTGCAGCTATGGTTTGAAGAGCTGGAGTTTCTGGAGGGATATGATGGCAAAAGGAAGATAAAGTTATGGGTGGTGCTAAGAGATGTTCCATTACAAATATGGAATGAAAGATTCTTCATGGAATTTGTGAGCACGTGGGGGTCAGGGTTGATGATTGATGAAGACACAATAAAGTGAAACCGATTCGGCGAGTCAAGGATTCTGGTCCAAGTACAAAAAGAGTCGGCTATCCCTGATAGAGTTGTTGTTATTGTAAATGGTACTTTGTCCACTATCTTGGTTAAGACGGAGGTCTATGATGGTGATCAAAGGTTCATAGATGGCACAACACCGTTTGAATCTTCGGCGAATGGAGGAATGATGAGGCGATTGATATTCCAGATATTGATGATGGGGTAGCAGTTGACGTTGATCTTGAGGAGTATCTGCAGCAGCAGGCTAGGGATGATGCCATGTATCAAATGAAATAGGGTTTGTCGGGTGCTAGGTAATATTTCGAGGAATAGGGCCGAGAGAAATGATAATGCTAATCACGTGCCTGAAATATCCTCAAGTGATATCGGATTGCACGAAGTGCCAATAAGATCGGCTAGTGGGCCGTAAAATGAATTGGATTGGATTGTGTGTGAGGTAGGGGTATAAACGAGCCGAATTGAGCTCGAGTATTATTGAGCTCGACTTAACTCGAAAACTTTGAAATGAAGTTCGACTCGACTCGAAAACTCGCCAGCTTAAAATTTTCAAGCTCGACTCGAACTCGAAATCCTAAACTGAAGCTCGTGAGCAGTTCGAAGAGGCTCGAAATGAAAAAAAAAAATCTTAAACTTAATTCGATTTAAGCTTCAAACTTAAACTCGAACTTGAACCTTGAATATATGAAAATCTTATTATATTTAAAAAAAATCAATACATAAATGTTAATATTATTAATAATTTATTTTTAAAAAATTAAAATCTTAATATTTTATATTTTCGAGCTGCTCACGAGTTTTTCGAGTCGAATATCAAGTAACTCATTTCGACTCGTTAAGAACTCAAGTCGAGCTCGAGTTTGATTCGAACTCGAGTTCGAGTCGAATCCATTCGATCTGAGTATTTATTGAACTTTGATCGAGTCGATACTAAATAAATCATGATCTGTTTCGTCTCATTTACATGTTTAGTGTGACTTCTCCTTCTGTGGATAACAGAAGATGTAATCTGGGTCCCAATTGGAACTAAAATACAAGCATTACCTATTAAAATTATCGAAAATGTGGATGCATTATTTGTTGGGCCCACCACTGTCCCTTTTCATGGTGGGGTTAATAGGGGTCTCTGTGATGAAGATTTAACATTCACCACGTGTAATAATTAGACGAAGGGCAAAGCGGTAAAGCAAAGGAAAGGTAGTTGGTCGACGGGGAAATTGAAAAATCAGAGGAGCAATAGCAAAGGAATTAAAAATAGGAAAAGCAACATTGGCTCGATCCCAAAAGAACTTAATGAAGAAGCAGGAGGTTCTAATCTAAACTTCCAACCCGAGAAAGAGAAATCTTTGGCTACTGTGGCGTTTGGGAAAGCTTTGGGTGTCGTTTTCATTGCAACATATTCGGAGGTCGTGAAAAGAATAGAGGAATTGGAAGATGAACCCAGATTTTGAACAGTCCAGGTACGGTTTGTTTGTTTGTGTTTGCCTCATGTTCACGGAATGTAATTACCGGTGGGAATAAAAATTATTAGGGAATAAGATTACTGGGAATGTTTATTTTTTGTTTGATTAATTTAACAGGAATTTAAGATTATCGTATTTGGTTAAAGAAATAAAAGATTATTAGAATGTATATTTGACCAAATTGTCTTTACTATATATTTATTTTTTTAATAAGTTGTAAAATATTTATATATTTTCTTTAAAAAAATTAAATTCATAAAATTTACATAATTTTTTTACAAGATTGAAAATATAAAAAAGTTTAATAAAGGGTACACTTTTATTTTAACTTCTACACTTCATATAAAATTTTAATTATAGATTTTTTGTAAATTTAAAATAGTTTAAGGATAAATTTGTAATTTAACCTTCGTAGAATTTTTATTATTCAATAACAGAATAAAGATATTTTGGGGGGGGGAAATTAAGGGTATTTTAATCCAAAACGTTGGTAATCCAACAATACCTAAGGAAAGGGAGATAATGACATTCCCGGTAATATACCCCAAAAAATTCACTATTGGTAATGTAATATTACCTGGAATGACATTCCTGGCCAACCAAACGAAGGAATGTGGATTTCATTCCCATAGGAATCTCACATTCCCCCAACCAAATACGCCCTAAATAAATTTTAGTCTGCTAACATGGAATGTTAGAGGAATAGGAAAAAAGACAAAAGCAGGGCAATTTTAAAGACTATCTTATCGAGTAAGGCTAGAATCCTTTTCATCCAAGAAACTAAACTGGCAGTATTAAATCCGGACTCGTAAGCGCATCCTAGGGAAGAATCTTGATGATTGTGTGGTTGTACCAGCGGAAGGGGCATCGAGTGGATTATTAGTCCTATGGGATTCATTCTACTTCAATGTGGAAAACAATGTGTGTAATTCCAGATTTTTGGCTCTGGAAGGAAAGTTCATTATGAGCATGATGAACACGGTTTTAGTAAATGTCCATAATCCTAATGGAGTTAGAGAAAGAAAAGATTTCTTTGAGCAGCTTGGTGTCTACTTGGATTCGGTGATATGTCATGTCCTGTGATCATAGGAGGCAACTTCAACACGGTCAGAAACGCAAAGGAGAAAAATGGGGTGACTGTAATTGAGTCATCGTTTGATAACTTCAATGATTTTATTCAAAACAGAAATTTGGTGGATTTGCCTCTACGTGGGAGTAAATTTACGAGGTGGCGAGGGGGCTGTCGGCTTCGGCTAGCAGACTTGATAGGATTTTACTGTCACCTGAGGTGTTATTGAGATTTCCCAGATTATGTCAATCAATCCTTTCGAGAAACCTCTCGGACCATAATTCGGTGGTTCTTAAATCAATGACTGAGAATGGGGGTTTAAGGCCTTTTAAATGGTTTTCTCACCGGGCAGATGACAAAGGGTATTCAGATATATTTAAAGTGGCTCAAAAGTCTTTTAAGAATGGATTCGATAAATTTCTAGTTGAAGTGAAGAAAGCGACAAAGTTTTGGGCAAAGAAAGTAAACTTGGAGAATTCAAATTCCATTGAACAAATTGAAGAGAAAATAGAGAGTTTAGAACAGGTTGACGTGGCTGGAAGTGGAGATAATGAGGTGTTGAATGAGATTTCTGGTTTGAAAGCGGATCTTTGGGCAAGATACAGATGCGAGGAGCGAGAATGGCTTCACAAATCAAGGCTCAAATGGTTCAAAGAAGGAGATAAAAACTCAAAATTCTTCCATCTTACTGCTGCGATAAGAGGAAGTAAAAACCATATCTCGTCGATACGGGTAAGTGATCTGGAGATATCTAAACCGAAACAGATTTTGGATGCATTTATGAATCATTTTAGGCACCAATTCAATTATAGCAGGACTATACCAGTAAAGGAGTTTGGTGTGAATTTAAGAAAATTGGGAACAACTTCTAGACGAGCTATTGAAGTTCGATTCTCGGAGGAGGAAATATGGTACACTTTAAGTTCTGCCGATGGGACACAAGCGCCGGGACCGGATGGGTTCAATTTTGACTTTTACAAGAAGTATTGGCAGCTTTTTAAAGGGGAAGTTGTGGCCTTTTTCAATGGGTTTTTTGATGTAAAGACGAGAGACAAGTCTTTTAATAAGTCGTTCATTGCACTTATTCCAAAGAAGCCAAATATGGAGAAGATTGAAGACTTTAGGCCCATTTCACTTGTGAGTAGCTTGTATAAACTGGTGGCGCATGTGCTTGCTAAAAGGTTGACTAGTTGCATTAATGAGGTCGTTGGTGAAAACCAATTTGCGTTCACAGCTGGGAAACAAATTGCCGACTGCTCTTTGATTGCAAATGAATTGATCGAGGACCTTTCGCTTCAGAAGTATGAAGCGATTATTTTTAAAGTTGATTTTAGTAAGGCATATGACTCGATGTATTGAGGATTTTTAGATTTAGGGGCTGTTTGTTTATTTCAGAATGATTAAGCGCTGAATGATTCAAATGCTGAATGATTCAGAGGCTATGTATAAATTAGCTCTGAATGTGACATGTTGTTTGATAATGGCTCTGAATAATTCAGAATATACTTCTGTGCTGAATCATTCAACATTGTTTTGCTGAATCAGTCAGCACTGAATCATTCAGAGGTGCGAAACAAATGCGCTGAAGACTGAACGGTTCAACATTCAGCGCTAAATGATTCCATTAAGAGGCAAACAAACAACCCTTAATCATGAAGCTAATGGATTTTGGTAAAAACAAGTTTGTCCTTTGTCCCCTTTCCTATTCAACTTGGTGGGTGAAGCGCTCAGCCATCTTTTCAATAAAGCTTCGGAATTGGGTATAATTAGAGGAGTCCCCGTGGGTTCATTCGATCTACGGATATCTCATTTACAATTCGTCGATGATCTGATAGTTTTTGCGAAAGCTAATTTGGGAATGGTAAAAAACATCAAAAGACTCCTTAGAATATTTGAAGTGGCGTCAGGCTTAAGACTCAACTTGTCGAAGTCGAAGTTATATGGGATATGTGTGGAGGAGAGTTGCCTAGTTGAGTGGGTTGAACATGTTAACTGTGATTGTGATCATTTCTCGACTACCTACATGGGGTTACCGCTCGGCCATAGAAGGAATTCCAAGAAGATGTGGAAGCCCATCGTAGATAAATTTCGATCAAGGCGGGATGGGTGGAAGGGGAAGCTACTTTCGCTGGGTGTTCGTATCACACTCATCAAATCTGTATTAGCAAATTTACCGGTTTACTTCCTTTCCTTATTCCAGCTCCCGGCATCGGTGGCTGCGGATCTAAACAGGATGATAGCAAATTTTTTATGGGGTGCTGAACTAGGGAGAGCGATTCACTGGATGCGGTGGGAGCTTGTTTGTTCCCCAAGGCTGTATGGTGGGCTTGGCTTCTTCGATCTGAGAATAAAAAATCGGTCCTTATTAAACAAGTGGATTTGGAGATATGGATCAGAATCAGAGTGCATATGGAGGAAATTCATTGATGCAAAATACGGCTATGACTCCTCGTCCCTTTTGCTGAAATCTGGTTCGTGGAGGAAAGGTTCCTGGGTCTGGATAAATATTACTCGTCCCTTAGTTTCTGATGGGGATAGTTTGTCGAAAGATTTGAGATGTGTTGTTGGTGATGGCAAATTTGTGGATTTTTGGGAGGACTATTGGTCGGAAGTCCCTTCCTTGAGAGTAACTTTTTCTCGCTTTTTTTTCTGTAGTGATTAAGAAGTCTGGTAAGGTTTGCGAATTTGGAAGCAAAATCGATGGTGTTTGACACTGGAAAATAGCAATTAGGCGGGTACTGTTTGATTGAGAGTTATGCATCTGGGACGAGTTTTTGGATATAATCAATAGAGTAGTGAGTGGGGTCAATTCTACTGATCATCTGCTTTGGAAGGGCTCCCCTTGTGGGCTATATGAACCAAAAAATTCTGCGAAAGAGTTGTTTGTGCAGGGAAGGAAAAGGATGATGTATGGAAGCTGGTTTGGGTCAATTTAGCGCCTCCAAATGTTGAGGCGTTTGTGTAAAAAACAATCCTTTTGAGAGTTCCCACTTTTCTTAATTTAGCTAAAAGGGGAGTCCTCAACCTAGATCGTTGTATTTGTGTATTATGCAATGAAGATCAAGAGTCGGATGAACACCTATTCCGCCACTGCAAGGTGTCGTGGAGACTATGGCAGAAATGGTGCGCCCAGTGGAAGGTTAACTTTGTTTGCCCTGCTAATGTAAAAAGTGTGCTGCTTATGTGGGAGGAACAACCAATAAAATCTCAATTAAAATTAGTATGGAGGTTAGCTCCCTTTAGGATAATTTAGAGCATTTAACAAGAAATGTTGTGAGGCTCAATTATATAAATTAATTGTCCTTCGGATTGGTCATCGGTGCAAATGTAAGTGGCCTGCCTTGATCCCCTCCATATCTGATTTTACTAGAGGTTTGTCCTTCCTCTAGTTAGGCGTGTTGTTTGGTTTTGATTGGTTGTTTGTTTGGATGTTGCGGGGTGGGGTAGAAACCTTACTGTATTGAGTGTAGGAGAGCAGTGGAGGCTGACGAGCGGGCATTGAGAATGTTGAGTTAGACCGTCCGGCTGTGTTTTAGGTTTAGAGATGTTTTTTAACGAGCCCGTTTCCATTGTTGTTTTGTATGTGTTGATTGCTTAATAACATACAAAAACTCCATTTAAAAAAAAACCCAAGGAAAGGAAAGAAAAGGTGTGTCCTAATGAAATTAAAATCGAGGTAATTAAATGTAAATGAATTCATTTTCAGATACTTCACAACATAAATAATTAAGGTAAACAAAGTTTCCGATTAGTTTATTTTTCATAAAATAAAATGTATGGGATATTGATATTTGGCCATTTGCCAACATTTTATTTTTAGCAGACCCCAAAACCATTTTCCTTGAATGTCTTGCAAAAAAGAAAAAATGTGAGAAAAAGAAACATCATTTTATTTTAACATCTTTTCAGACACCACGTGTTATGCAAGATAATGTAGACCAGCATATTATGGGTGATTTGACCATTTTAGTATAGAGTCTACAATTTTAATTTACAAGTCTTTTCATTTTATCAAGTTACACAGTAGTTGTTTTGGGCAACGAATGCAAGTTGAGAAATTAGTGGAAATGATTCTAATATGATATTAATTTATTAAGAAAATATTAAACACATACTATCTTATAATTATTTTAGATTATTTAAAAAATTAATATCTTAAATAATAAATCATAAATAGGTAGAACAAAGGTAACAAGATGTCTAGGGATGGTTATTTTATTCAGATTTAACGAGTTTTGATTTAATTACTTAATTCAATTGAGTTGATATTTTATTTGTAAAAATTTAAATTCAAGTCAAGTTGAGTTGAATTTTAGTGTGTGATCATGTTCGGGTTTGAGTTTAGGGTAAAAAAACTTGATTTGATCAGATATAATATTATAATTATCATTTATATATTTAAAAATAATTACATTAATATATTTTTCTATTTTATTTTATCTAGTAAAAATGATTTTTTATTTATATATATTTAGATAAGATTAGATCATATATTGGTTTTAACCTAAATTATCGGGTTTTAAATTCTAAATTCAAGTCGAATTAGATGCTGATAGAGGACTTCAATTCTTGAATCAGATTCAGGTAGGTTAAAAATCTAATCCGACTTGATTCATTTCCATATGGCAGGCGGACGAGTTGGGTAGTTGCCGTCGCTTTATCAGCCGTCCCTACAGCGTTTTTAGTGTGGTCTTATCCACAAGAGACGACAACTTATCCTTTCTTGCAAGGATTCGTTGGATTGTTTATTAGTATTTTATTATCGTAAAAATGGATTAATACTGCCAAGATAATCTACAACCTTCAATATTCAAATTTCATATATGTAACGTGCAATTCAACTCCATCATCTCCCATCAACCTCGCAAAATCTAGGCCGTCGGACCAACTTTTGTTATGCACATCTGGTGGCTATATTCATTCTGCACTCGAAATTCAATTTTCAAATTCATATGTTTTTATTTTTTTATATTTTAGATTAAAAATATGTTTTGTCCTATAAAATTTTATAAATTCGTGTACTTTAACATAAAATCCTATATATCTCCAGGGAATTGGGTAAGATTTTACCATCCTACCAAATCCCATATTTAGTAATGAATCGAAACATTATATATATATATATATATATATATATTGTAGTTAATGATAAAAAATTAAAAAATGAAAATATAGAAACACTTAAACCATTAAAATAAATTTAATAAATGATATATAATTGAATACACTTCATCATTTTTGTAGGAAACAAGAATGCCAACCTTGTGTATCCATATAGCCCCAACAGACAAATAATTAGTCAAGAATAAAATGAAAAAAAGAATTAAAAATTAAAAAATAGCTTAAATCAACTTCTATATAACCCCATTCACCATTTTTTTATGGAGCAAGAGTGTCAATTTTGTGAATCTGTATAATCTCAACAGACAAATAATTAGTAAATAAAAAAATGAAAGAAAAAACAAGCAACAAAATTTTATCTTAAATCAACTTCTTTTGATGGATTACCTTGGTATCAAATGATTGCGATCGACTGAAACATTGAAATGAATACACATGGTTCATCAAAGCATCACAAGTATCCCATGCTTGCCTGAATTTCTCTCATACTTTAAAGAAATAGAACATGTAACTTGAAAAAATAAAATAAACTTACTGCTAACAAGTTGATAAACTCTCCACTTAACTATTTTAAAATATTCTGATTTATTCTAGTTGAAATGCCACGCGATAACATAAGACCAGTTCACATGTCCTGGGCACATCATTCATCATCATTTAACGATGTTAGTCTCAATGGCTATAGTAGAACACAAAACCTATAGTTCATGGGTATATTGAACATTTAAAAAGTAGAGGCATCTAACCCAAACGATCTTAATAGCAATATAAAATATTATTTTATTATGAGTTCAAACAGTTGTATTTATGGTATGTAAGTGTTGTCAATGATTAAAATGATTATGAACAAATACTACCTTCTAATCATCTTATTCCGTTTAAAAAAGATAGAGGCTTCACATTAGAATATTTTGATAAAGTACAGGGAGCATCCTTGCAATTATACCAGTTAATTAAGACGAGAGGTATCAGAAGCATTAGACCTCACAATCCTATCATAAACCCACCATTCCCCACCGTCACCTGTAATTCTTTGTTTCTTCTAACATTTACTTACCCACCATCTTCGTATTTTCCTTCACGATATTCTCGAGTTTTCTTCTTCTTTCTCCTTTCCCGGAGCAAAACCTTTCAAAAAGTCAAACCTTTGGACTTCAATCCAATAAAAAAAGAAATAACCATGACAAACTACGGCACAATCCCGACATCTTCGTCGGCGGGACCGTCGGCGAACATCGAATACCTATCTCGAGCGAAGGAACGTATCAAAGAAGGGCTCGCAGATCGTCGTCCATGGAAACTTATGTTCAACATACGCTCCTTCAACTTCCCCGGGAACATATCCGATGCTATTTCCAGGGTTAGAAGTAACGTTGCTTACTTCACCATGAACTACGCCATGATCGTGCTTTTCATCCTTTTCCTCAGCCTTTTATGGCACCCCGTCTCCCTTATAGTCTTCGCAGCCATGATGGCCGCCTGGTTGTTCTTGTACTTCCTACGGGACGAGCCTTTAGTTGTTTTCCGCCGTACCGTCGACGACCGTGTGGTGCTGATCGTCCTGGGGGTTTTGACCATCGTCTTCTTGCTGTTGACGGATGCGACGCCGAATATTTTGTGGTCGCTTTTGATTGGCGCGGTTGTCGTCTTGGTCCACGCTTCCTTCAGGAGGACCGATGATTTGTATGATGAGGAATCTACTGGCTTGATATCTTCTCCATGATTCCTGGGTTTACTTCTTTTCTTTTCAATGCTATTCTTTGTTTGGTTTTAGTTAAGTTCTTATTGGTAAAAGTATAATTTCGTTTGTTTGATTGTGTTGTTTGATTGAATGGGATTTATTTCTTGTTTAACATTGTTAAATGCTTGAATCGTAATTGACCGGAAGGCTTGCAATTGGCAAGTAATTTTGACTTTGAATGGTGGATGAGGAGTGATGGGCATTTCATCCCGATGAGTTTCAACCTAATTCGATCGTGTTAGATTTTTGAATTAAATAATTTTTTTTTCTAAACCCGGATTAAGTGCATGCAGAGATAGAGATGAAACTGTTTAAATTTAAATCAAATTTGAATAAATTATAAATCTAACTCAACTTGACCTATAATCATCGGGAATCTATCGTTAAAGGTTGGGGTAGATTTGAAGGAGTGCTTTTTAGCAAATGAAGATCGAATATTAAATAATTGAAGGGACAGAAAGTGAGGCGAATGTTAAACAAATTTAAAAGCTGATGAGAATGGGTCCTCATATTGACAATGCCAAAAGGTGAATGCACATGGATATGGTGCAGTGGTCACTAATCAACAGGGAAGCGACATCAACGGTAATGCAAAAGATTCAAGGCTTTTTGCCAATTTCATTTGCTAAACTTACGTAATGGGTAAATGTGATTTCAGATTTGAAAACACCCAAATTTGCTTTATTAAACGCCCCCTAAACATAAGGGAAAAACAAAGTTAGATCCACAAATTGAGGGGGGGGGGAATTTAGAATCATGTCTAACATCAAGGTGGGCAGCATGATGGACCAAACTTACGTAACAGTTAATTTTTTAATAGTATAATATGATTATATGAAAATATTTGTTTAAAATTTTTTTAATCCATTCGTAATGTATATACATCTTATAAATATAGCTGTTCAAATTCAAAAAATTTAGAGTTAATAATATTTATTTTATTAAATTAAAACTTTTAAAAATAATAATATATTTTTTATTAATGAAACTACTTGATAAATTCAATTTGAGTTAAATTTTCTGAGGTAGAATTGGTTATGTTAAACATATTCTATTCTTTATCTATTGAGATATAATCGGTGTTTCTTAGCGGTAAGGGGAATCATGACGTCCATGTGGAACTCATGTGAGCGAGAGCCCCACCAATCTTCCGCGGTGGACATTGGATTTATTGGGCTGGATTTCAAAAGGAAAGAAAGAAACGGTAAAGCATTTTTTTAATTAAACCTTTTTAGTGTTTTTGTTTTGTTCACAAACTTTTAAATTTTTAGTTTTATCAATAATTTTTTTATTTTTTTATTTTGGTTACTTACCCGTTAAATGTCTGACGTCAACATTAAAATGTTACATTTTCAACCATTTTTATTTTTTCCTAAAATTTTAATCTTATTCATTCGCATACAAAAATAAATCAGATTCTAATGTTCCACAAAAAAATTGATTGAATAACGGTCTAAAATGACTTTTATAGTGACAGTGATTGGATAGTGATTGAGTAATGGTTTAAAATAAGAGAAAATCGCCTCAGTGACCAAAAAAAAGTTATAATATACGATTTTAATCAACTTTTTTTGGATTTGCCAAAATGACCAACAAAATCGCAACGCGAAATAAAAATCGCAACGCGATCCCCAGAATCGCAAATCAGTTTCCAGAATCGCAACGCGATTCTTGAAAATCGCGATGCGATAGTACAAATTCGCATTGCGATTTTCCATAATCGCAACGCGAATATGAAAATCGCAACGCGAACACATAAATCGCAACGCGTATCCGTAAATCGCAACGTGTATCCGTAAATCGCAACGCGTATGGGTAAATCGCAATGCGTATCCGTATATCGCAACGCGTATCCGTAAATCGCAACGCGTATCCGTAAACCGCAACGTGTATCCGTAAATCGCAACGCGTATCCGTAAATCGCAATGCGTATCCGTAAATCGCAACGCGTATCCGTAAATCGCAACGATAATCCGTAAATCGCAACGCGTATCCGTAAATCGCAACGATAATCCGTAAATCGCAACGAGAATCTGTAAATCGCAACGATAATCCGTAAATCGCAACGAGAATCTGTAAATCACAACACTGAAATTTTGGGTATATAACACTGAAATCATAAACTAAATCCCTAAATCGCAACTCATTCCATCTCCATCTATCACTCTCTCCGGCGACATCCGTTCCTATATCCAACGACATCCTTCCCCATCCGGCAACAGGTCTTAGTTTCGCATCTCGTTTGTTTAGTTACAACCATGAAATCATCTAATGTTGATCATGTTTGGATAGATTTGTGTTTTGGAGGGTCATGGGATAATGTTAATGGTGTTTTACAATATGCCTTTACCCATAAATCTTCAACTAAAATTGTCTTTACAAAAGTTAACTTATGAAACTCTAATGCTACGTGTTTCAAATAAATTGAATTTAGAGCCCCTAAGTGGATTTAGGCTATCTTATCAGAGAAATGGTAAAGTTTATTTGTTAACCGACAATGAAGATGTTGAACGATTCATTGCTTACATTAGTGTTTCACAAGATGATGTTACATTGTATGTTGTTGAACCTAGAAGTAGTATTGTTGGGTCAGTAGCGGGTAGTAATCAACTAAGTTTTTCTCAAAACCCACAACCTTTCTCTAATCCAAATCCCAATCAACTTTCAGCACCAAATTCCGGTTTTCGTATTGACCAGTTAGACGATGATGAGCCAACAGAAAAAATTGTGAGTACTAGTCAGTATTCGAAATTTGGTCTTGGTCAATATCCGGACTTTGATATTGGTCAATACACGGATTTTGATGATGTTTCAGAAGAAGAAACAGACCATGCGTGTAATGATATTGATATTGGTCAATACCCGAATTTTGATGATGAAACAGCCGTTGCCGAAGAATGTAATGTTGATGATAATGAGGAGGAAGTTACGACTATGAATGAACATGTTGAACATCCATTCTGTAATTCATATAATCCTGAAGAAGAAAAAAGAAGAAGAAAAAGTCCCCGAAGAAAAGAAAATGCCACGGGCGTATAACTGGAATATGCCAGAATTACTTCAGATACCGGAAGAAGAGTTGATAAAGAAAGCAGTTGATTGTTACACAAAAGTTATTCGTATCAAGAAAGATGATTGTTTTGATACAAAGGAAGACTTGAAGATAGCTTTATATACGAAATGTGTGGAAGATGGCTATCAACTAAAAGTTAACAAATCAAGCAAAGATCGTTTCGAAACAAGGTGTATGATTGACAAAAACTGTACGTGGCGTATGATTGCAAAGAGAATAAAAGATTGCAAAATGTTTCAAGTTAGGACTTTTATTGATAAACATACATGTTCAAGAACCCAAGTTTTTCCTCACCATAGACAGGCAAACAAAAAGGTGTTGGGTGGTTTTCTGGCTGAGTTAATGTTTTTGAATGGCAGGGTATATCGGGGACATGAAATTATGACTGACATGAATGCTCGGTTCAAGATTAGTATATCATATTCTCAAGCTTGGAGAGCCAAATGTTATGCCTTGGAATTGTTGAGGGGGTCGCCAGAAGCATCGTTTGCCCAACTGCCGGCTTATTGTCACAATTTAAAGCTGAAAAATCCTGGGTCGGTAACTCATATCAAAACAGATAGAGATGGACGCTTTGAGTTGCTGTTTATCGCCATTGGTGCTACGGTTAGTAAATCAATATAATTTTGTTGACTCATTTTTGTTAGTTACATGCATTTCACATTTAAATGATTATATTTCTTGTGTATATTATTTTGTAGATTCGTTCGTTTATTACTTGCATGCGCCCAGTTATTATAGTTGACGGAGCACATTTGAAAGGTCGATACCTTGGAGTAAACTTATTAGCAGTAGCCATGGATGCTAACAATGGGATATTGCCAATAGCTTACGGGGTTGGCAAATCTGAAACCTCTGATTCATGGACATGGTTTATGGGGCATCTTAGGGATTGCATAGGTCCTATTAGCAATCTGACAATCATATCCGATAGGGCAAACTCAATTGACAACGCTGTTAGAAGGTGTTTCCCAGATGCTTTTCATGGACTTTGTGGTGTTCATTTGTATAGAAATCTAAAATCAAGGTCTGCTGGTATAAAAAAGCACAAATGGACATACTGGAAGGCTGTAAAAGCTTATCGGGAAGTGGATTTCAATAAGCATATAAATTGTTTAAGACGTGTTTTGCCTCAGTGTGCTCAAACACTAGAAGATGTCGGGTTTGAAAGATGGTCAAGAGTACATCAACTTGGAGCAAGATATGGTTTCATGACGTCTAATAGTGCAAAATCAATCAACGCTCTAAGTCGTCATTCCCGGAAATTACCCATTACTATGTTAATGGAGTTTTTTCGAGCCTCTATTCAACAGTGGTACTACAAGAAAAGAAACCATGCAGGTATTATTTCTTTGAATTCGTAACTTATCATATTTATATATTTTACTAAGTATTGTTTATTTAAATTTACAGGAACATTGGAACATCGTGTTACACCATGGACTGAAAAAAGATAACGAAACGTGTTGTGAAGTCAACGTCATGGAGAGTTGAACCATGTTCAAACACTTTGTTTCAAGTACTGGATAATAACTTAAATGGGCTAGTCGATCTAAATGCAAAGACGTGTAGTTGTATGAAATGGCAAACATCTGGTTATCCGTGTGGCCATGTTATAAAAGTTGCTCTTCATTTAAACCAAGATGATTCAAGCGCATACGCTATGGATTGCTACACTACAGAAGTTATCGACAGACTTATGCCGAGATTGTCTACCCTATTCCACATCCTTCTGAGTGGGACATACCAGATGACTTACAAACAGTTTTGCCACCAGCCATGGACAGAAGGCTACCTGGCCGACCAAAAGTCACGATCGTATACCGTCTAAGGGTGAAGAGAAGAAGAGATCGACATGTAGTCGGTGCAAGGAAAGTGGTCATACAAGGTTGACATGTGGATCACCAGTGCCATCAAAATCATCTTTTCCTCTACCAAAATATGGATCCTCATCAAAATCCAAAGCTCATATGGTGTGAACTTTGTATTATGTAAACGTTGTTATTCAGTTGTATTATGTAAACGTTTTAACATTTAAC